AATAAATAGATATAAAAATTCACATTTTAATCATGTGAAATGTGTGACACCTGTAAATAAGCATAATAAGTAAATAAATAATATTAAAATATAAAATTAAATAGAATAAATAAATATTTTTAAAAATCACATTTTAATAAAGTAAAAATGTGATATCTGGCACCGATGTCTCTTATGACATTTCCGATGAAATGTGGATTGAAGTGCATCTGCACATTTTTATCTTTGGATTTTCACAGGGTGATGTTCGAATAAATAAATATTTTTAAAAATCACATTTTAATAAAGTAAAAATGTGATATCTGGCACCGATGTCTCTTATGACATTTCCGATGAAGTGTGGATTGAAGTGCATCTGCACATTTTTATCTTTGGATTTTCACAGCTCAGGTGATGTTCCTTTCTTTGTGCCTCCTCGATTCAAGAGAACACCCCAACTAAACGAGGAGAAAGAGGAAAGAGAGTATGCTGAGGAATGGGAACTCCATCCAGATCTGCACACCCAGCGAGGCTCTGTAACAGTAGGGAGTATGTCAGGAGGACTGGAAGGCATTAGACATCAGAAACGATGATAAATAAAGTATAAAGAGAATGTTTTGACTGTTTGTTTCTCATTCTGCTCAATGTGGTTCTCGAGGTTGGTTCCCCCTTGGCAGCATAAGACCAGACCTGTACCAGCTCCCAGAGGAACCCAGTGAATGGGCCCTTCCCAATGGCTCAGCTGTTCGTCTGTGGTTCGCTCTGCGGTACCAGCAGGAGAGAGAGCAGCTGGTGGTGTCTCTGCTCCGTGCCGCAAACCTGCCCGTTCAGTGCCAGGGTAATGTCACACTGGTAAAACTGCAGCTGTTGCCATCTGATGATCGACGACACCGTCAAGCCAAAGCACGGCGGAAAGGTTGTCATCCACAGTTCAATGACACCTTTGTGTTTCAGGTAGAGTCTACTGATAAACACTGGCAATCTAAGTCTCACTGTATGTGGGTACATTATCAGTCTTCCTCATTATGTGGAAATTCAAGTGCTTTAATGCTTCATGATTTGTTTGTGAATTCATTTTCAAAAACATTTTATTCTAATTAATGAGAGAAACTATGAAGACATTTCATAGTTGATGTCTCCATCTACTGGCCATTGCAAGCAGGTTTTCTGTTTCATTCCTCTAAGCACTTAGAGGAATGTTCTGGGTTCAGTACAAGTTTGTGATAAACTGTTGATCATTACCACATTTGTGGGGTTAGTAAAAAATTTTTTAAATGTTTTTGAAATGTTATTTAATGTCTCTTATCCCTCAACAAGGCTGCATTTATCTGTTCAGATACAGTAAAACAGTAATACTGTGAAATATTATTACAATTTAAAATTCATGTTTTCTATTTGAATATATTTTAAAATGTAATTTATTCCTGTGATGGCAAAGCTGAATTTTCAGTAGCCATTACTCCAGTCTTCAGTGTCACACGATTCTTCAGAAATCATTCTGATATGCTGATTTGGTGCTTTTGTTGTTCTGAAATAAAATAATAAAAATGTTAACTGAAATAAAATAAAATATTTTACTATTATAATTGTAATATTTTAATTCAACTAGTTCCCAAGGAAACATTTTCATTTAGTTTAACTTAATGTATTAATATAATAAATATAATAAAAACTAATTCAAACTATTAATAAAAAATCTACAATACAGTATCTCATTGATACTAATTGGTGCTCAAGTCAAATTTCCAATTATTATCAATAATTAATCTTAATATTTTTGGGGAAACTGATACATTTATTTCAGGATTATTTGATGAACAGAAAGTTCAAAAGAACAGCATATGTTTGAAATAGAATTGTTTTGTAACATTATAAATGTCTTTACTGTCAGTTGATTACTTTAATGCATCCTTGCTACAGTATTAATTTCTTTCCAAATAAATAAATAAATGACCCCAAACATTTGAACGGTACAGTCAGAATAAGGTCTGTTACCTGATACCTCTGCCTTCTAACAGGTATCTAATAGCTGCATTGACCAGTGCTCTCTGAAAATGAGCATGTACACTGTGGACCATCAGAAGAAGCACCATCTTGTAGGTCAAGTCATGATTCCACTCAGACATTCTGAACTAAAGGAGACGGCAGGAAAAGTGCAGTGGAGGGATCTGGACAATGAAAGTGATCAAGTATGACACTTTAATATTAAAGGAATAGTTTACTCAGACATGAAAATTCTGTCATCATTTACTCACTTTCATGTCTTTCCAAACCTGCATGAATTTCTTCTGTGGAACACAAAATAAGAATTTCCACAAAAGAAAGAAAACCATTCAGGTTTGTCATTGAGGGTGAAAATCAATTTTCATTTTAGGGTGAACTATCCCTTTAATCAGATTTTGGGGGAAAGAATGCTGTTCTAATGTGTGCTTATTACCTGTTGTAGCCCCTTTCAAAAAATGGTGACATTCAGGTGTCTTTGAACTACAATCAGTCCCTACACCGCCTCACTGCGGTTGTTCTACGAGCGAGAGGGTTGCAGTGTTGCAGTGATTCAGGTGAGAAACAAAGTAATAAAAAATACAATGCCGTGACAAGTCTTTGTGCACCTTTAACTTACATGTAAAATGATGGTACAGGTGTGTGCGCCCAGGTCTCTCTGAAGATACATACTCGGGTGGTGAGGAACAAGTGGACCACTGTGGCGAAAGGAAATAATCCATCCTTTAATGAGAGGCTTACCTTCAGACTCCTCCCCATGCAGCTAGACACAGCCTGTCTGACCCTACAGCTCCAGCAGGCCAGCACAGAAGAACCTGGTAACTGTCAGTCAATCATTTCCAAGGCGACAGGGCACCACTATCCTGCTATATGAAAGTGTTTAAAAAAGCTCCTTTAAAAAACATGTATTATCATTAACTAAAACTAAAGCTATTAAGAACTAAAACTGAACTCTACACTCTAAAAAAATGCTGGGTTAAATACAACCCAGCGCTGGGTAAAATATGGACAAACCCAGCAACTGGGTTGTTTTGACCCAGTGGTTGGGTTACTACCCAGAAGGTTGGGTTAAACATTGAACCCACCCGCTGGGTCAAAACAACCCAGTTGCTGGGTTTGTCCATATTTCACCCAGTGCTGGGTTGTATTTAACCCAGCATTTTTTAGAGTGTAACTAAAACTGAAATAAAAATAAATTAAACCTAAATAGTAGTATTTTGAAAAAACAAATGACAAATGCATTCAACAAAATTACTAAAAATTAAACTTAATTGAAAACGGAAAATATAAAAATGAAAGTTAATTCAAAATGTTAAAAACACTCATATATTTATAACTAATACTAAAACCTATTATTAGTAGTAATAATAATAATAATAATACCATACCCCATTTTGATTAATCACAACTGGTTGACTGGTTACAACAAAGAAAAATGTACCACATTTAAGAAATATTTAAAACAAACAAATGTTGATGTAAAATGAATAGAAACATACATAGAAACATACAAGTTCATTCACCAGTGGTCTCAGATATTACAGTTATTTTAAATGCACCATTAAAAATTTGTTACCTGTGTATCTGTACTCAGGCACTATATTTTGTCTGTACTGGCAGTGTTGTTGGGCATTGTGGTCATTGGGCCATTCATGTATGCGAGGGGCAGAGAGCTGGAACACTGGAACGACATGGTCAGCAAACCACAGGAGCTGGTCAGGCAATGGCACCCGCTGGGATCCGCTGACAAAGTACAGGAACTCCAATGAACAACATGCAACAAACTCAATGCCACCTCCCTCCTCTCTTTGAAAACAATGATAGCCTTTTTCTTGTCTTTAAGGTGGAAGTGTTTTTTCAGTACAAGGCTGATGTCAGAAAATCAACTGGAATTAAACAATGTATAAAGAAAAAGTTTATTGATAGCCAGTTGTGAATGAGGTTTGCATTTAATTACATACTTTTAAATGTTTGCTCTTCAAAGTCTCATCAGAACAATTGTGTGACTTGATGCAGGAGGTAAAAATACAGTATAGTTGTACCACAGGGTTCTCACATTTTTAACCCATGAATTTCCATTCCATTTGTTTATGATTAATGGATAAGGATTTTGTTTCATTTAGATTCATTTCAGACTGATTTGCATCTATCCAGCCATACTTCAATCCTATTTTCCTATGTAGGGTCGCAGTGATTGTTACTGAATTGTTCAGACCAATTTGTGAACTGGTTTGATTGACTCATTGAAAAGAATTATTCACTCACTAATTGGACATATACTACCATTCAAAAGATAGGATCCATAAACTTTAAATAAATTACTAAATTGATCAAAAGATACAGTAAAAATATTTATACGGTTACAAAAACATTAAAATTCAAATAATTGCTGTTCTTTTAAACTTTATCAAACAATCTTGAAAAAAAAAATGTATACAACATTAACCAGCACAACTGTTTTAAATGTTGATAATAATGAGAAATGTTTCTAGAGCACCAAATCAGCATATTAGAATGATTTCTGAAGGATCATGTGACACTGAAGACTGGAGTAGTGGTTGCTGGGATTTTGTTTCATTTAGATTCATTTCAGACTGATTTGCATCTATCCAGCCATACTTCAATCCTATTTTCCTATGTAGGGTCGCAGTGATTGTTACTGAATTGTTCAGACCAATTTGTGAACTGGTTTGATTGACTCATTGAAAAGAATTATTCACTCACTAATTGGACATATACTACCATTCAAAAGATAGGATCCATAAACTTTAAATAAATTACTAAATTGATCAAAAGATACAGTAAAAATATTTATACGGTTACAAAAACATTAAAATTCAAATAATTGCTGTTCTTTTAAACTTTATCAAACAATCTTGAAAAAAAAAATGTATACAACATTAACCAGCACAACTGTTTTAAATGTTGATAATAATGAGAAATGTTTCTAGAGCACCAAATCAGCATATTAGAATGATTTCTGAAGGATCATGTGACACTGAAGACTGGAGTAGTGGTTGCTGAAAATTCAGCTTTGCTATTAACGGAATAAATTACTTTTGAAAATACTAAATTAGAAACCGTTATTTTAAATTGTAATAAAATTTCATAATATGACTGTTTTTACGATATCTTTGATCAAATATATGAAGCCTTGGTGAGAAAATAAAAAAAACAATAAAAATCTTAACAACCCCATACTTTTGAATGGTAGTGTAGCAAACTACACAATAGCAAAATCTAGTCATACAATATTAATAATCCCTTAATATTTCCTCATTTTCCATGCCTGAGGGAACCCTGCACACAGTGTGAAATCCCCCTACCCCTACTAAGCCTACATGCATGTAATATGGGTTCAGGTCACTTTGACAGGGGTTTTGTACATGGTTATTTTTGCAGTTCTCAATCCATAATAAAATTTACACTGCTCAAATTTGGTACATTAGGTAAGTCTGCTTTAACCTGGACTGTGTTTGGACCCAAAGACTGTAAACATAAGTCACAATTTTCATCTGTTAATCTATTTCCCTTGGTGCATTTTGCAACACGGTTGCATATTGTGACCTGGGTGCGTGTAGCTGCTCTGACCCTGAGCGCTGGGTCTGGATAATCCACTACTGTAAGGCCTCTTATGGACTAATCACAGAGTTCAGAAAGGCTAGCAGATTGCAGCTCGGCGTCCACCTGTTCTCATCTTCTATGTACAGTCAGCGTAGATCTACAGGACTTAAACTGCCTGGACACAACATGTCTTGTGACCTGGCTTGTGATTTTGGCTCTTGTTTGGGACCCTCGGGTTCAGGTGGAACGCATTCAGACGTGACGTCTGAGCAATAGGGAAATGAGAGCAATTATATTCTATGTTTGTGCCTTCAGATCCATTCTTTTTTACGAATGGCTGAAATGAGCTCCTTAAATGTTGGGACATGGTTCACACCAGATCACCAGTTTAGGCCACCTCAGATGTTCATTAATATTGTGAGTCCAAAAGCACTATGATGAAGCCTCATAAAAGGGTATGAAGCACTGCTGCCCTCAGATTCCTGTTTCTCGGGATGTTCTTCACTGAGCATTTGATAACTTTATACAATTTAGGGCAGCTGCCTAGGGCAAAGTTCGGTAAGCGGTGTCCAGTCTGGTGGCCGTTTTTCACGCCCCACAGCATTGTGGAGCACCTTTGAAGCACTTCTACTGCCGCAGAGTACTGGCCGTTAGTCCACTGTTTCAGCCTGACCACCATCACAGCTGAAGAGAAGCCGAAAGAGTACCGTGAGGTGCCACGGAAAACCCGCTCCCCCTCGCCGAAATACGCCCCTTCTTCCCAGGAGAGCATGGAGCCGTCTTCTTCACCCATGTCGGCCAGGTTACAGACGGCCAGAAGGCAAGAGCTCAACAGTGCCTCGTTTTCACTGTACTGGAGAAGAACCGACACCAGTCGTGGGACAGCTCCAAGCCTCAGGAATCGCTCCTGCTGCAAGTCTGGCAAGAAAATCATCACTCTTACATTCCAAACTCAAGAGTCAGCATCAAGACACAGATTGCTAGACTCTACTTAGCACCCTATTTTTCCTGAAAATCTGCGATGAAGTTATCAGAGGGACACTCCACCCAGAAATGAAAATGTCATGATCCCTCATATGGTTCCAAACCTGGATTCATTTAGTTTTTCTGCAAAACACAAAATAATATAATTTTAAGAACATTGGGAACCAAACAACATTGGAACCACTTTGACTTCAATTGGATGGACAAAAAAAAAAAACACTGAGGAATTTATCAAAATATGTTCTTTTGTGCTCCACAGAATAAAAGAAAGTCACAGGTTTTAAACGACATGAGAGTGAGTAACCTATGACTTTAAAAATTTATGTTTATTTTATCTCTCTTGACGTTTTTGAGCTATTTGAGGTTATTTGACTTCGAATCCTACCATTAAATGTTTTACAGTTAAATTATATCTGGCATTATTCACACACAGCTCTTGCGCATTCTACTTTTCTATCTCTCATGTGAATGTCACCTGTTCCAGTGAAATCACAATATAAAAGGCATTCAAATACACTATTGTTTCCAATGACAAACTGGTGCATTTTCAAAAGTTTTCGAAATGGAAAATTTAAAATTTCAACTATTTTTTTAAACTACACATCGTTGTCTCAGATTCAGGTTTGAGGCTATAATCCAAAAATAGCCTCTGATACAAATCAATTCAGATCAACCTTTGTTATGGCAAATAGGGTGCTACAAATGTTACTAAAATCTGTCTTACACAATCACATACTAAAGTATGACTAATGCCTCTCACATCAGTAGCGCTTTTAAGACCTGTGGTTAGAAGAATAGGGCAAAAGTTCAGGTTCACTCACTACTGTCATAGCAAATTCTCACGATGGCCTGGCTAATGTGAAGGAGAAGGTCCTGGTCTTGGCTTAGCAGTAAGGTCACAAGGGCAGACACAATGCCTGTCTCAAAGCATTGCTCTCTCACAGGAGCTAAAGAAAGATGGAATTATAGAATAATCAGTAGTCAGCCAGTGCTCTTTGACTATGAGTATTAAGTTAGATGTCAAACTCCCATTTTTGCTCCCAAAAGCTCCCATTATTTGCAGTTTATACAGCTTATTAAAGGGACAATCCCACCAGCAACCTGAGGTTGTTGTACCTAAGGTCTTTTTCAACCTTTCGGTTACAGCTCAGCCAATATTTTAACCACAAGGCTACACCAACAAACACATGCATTATATTTGTACATAAAACATTTGTTCTTACCATCTCTGGCCAGTTCAGCTACCAGTCTGGCAGTGTGAGTAGTGAGCGTGCTCTTTCTTCTTAAAATCTGAGCCAGAACAGGCAGAATCCCGCTTTCTACCACCTGCTCTGATGCGCCTTTCTCTAGGGCAGGAAAAACACAATACACAAAGTTTGGGGTCAGGAATATGTATTAATGTTTTTGAAAGAAGTGTCTAATGTCTGCATTTCATATGATCAAAAATACAGTAAAACAGTAATATTGTGAAATATGATTACAATTAATAACAGTTCTCTATTTTAATATATTTTAAAATTCCGTAATGGCACGAGCTTTCCAATATGCTGATTTAGTGGTCAAGAAGCAAGTAATTTCTTATTATTATGTTGAAAACAATTGTGCTGCTTAATATTTTTGTGGAAACTGTGACATGTTTTCCGGAATTCATTGATTTATTAATGAAGAAAGACTTCAAACGAACAGTATTTATTTAAAGGGGTCATATGACGTTGCTAAAAAACATTATTTTGTGTATTTGGTGTAATGCAATGTGTTTATGCGGTTTAAGGTTTAAAAAACACATTATTTTCCACATACTGTACATTATTGTTTCTCCTCTATGCCCCGCCTTTCTGAAACGCGTCGATTTTTACAAAGCTCATCGTTCTAAAAAAGCGAGGTGTGCTCTGATTGGCCAGCTATCCAGTGCGTTGTGATTAGCCGAATGCCTCAAGCGTGTGACGGAAATGTTACGCCCCTCACCATACTGTGGTGCCGTCTCCCAGCATGACGAGACAAAACCAATAAAATCCATTACAAACGAGGCATTTGTTGCATCCAGTGGGGACATAATTACTGATTATAATGACTTATACTGTCTTTTTACGCGTTGCGTTGCGTATCGCGCTGCGTAAACATAAAACCATGTCTGCATTTGTGATTGGAGAAACAACAAACAACAAGCCTACTCTACACTGCCCAAAACTCACATTTGAAGCATCAGTGGCAAATTATTTAATAAAAAACGTACTTACAGTCTGTGAGTCAGAAGCGCCAGACTACCCTTGCAAAGTTG